AATGAATTGTAAACCAATTTTCATTTCAATTTCGAACATTTACGACGACAACAACAACAACAACAAAAAAATAATTAAATGATAAGAATGATGATGATAATGATGATGATGATAATGATGATGATGATGATGATGATTGATAATGAAAAAGAAAAAATTTTTTTGGGGCACAATACCCCAAATAATTAATTACGATTAATTAATTAATTAAATTTAACAGAAAGTTTAAAATGAAATTGCACACGCACACGCACACACACGCACGGATACCGTGGAACAAAAAAATTGAATGTAATAATAATAATAATAATAATAATAATAACGAGAAGTACCTGATATACGTCATGACTTGAATATTTTTAATAAAAAAAAAAAATTATTCGTGAATGAATCAGCTGGAAAAGAAAAAAAAAAAAATGCCCAAATAGAAAGTTATTAAATAAATGAAAAAAAAAAAAAGAAAAGGGGTCAAATGATATATGTAGCATTATTATTATTATTATTATCGTTTTAGTCATCGTCGTCGTGGTAGCAGAGTCATCATCGTGAATGTAATATTTTAATTTTTTAAACAAACAAACAACGTTTATTTCGAATGAGATTTAAATCTATGGAAATGTATCGATTAACGATTGTTTATCAAAGTCTGCTGACACGTACGCATGCTCACACGCACAGGCACACGCACAGGCATACATTCCTAGCATCGGCCTAAAAATTTTAAAATATTTTACAAACGAATAAAAATTGATCACTAAACGAGAAACATCGTACAAGTTGTTTTTTTTTTCTTAACAGCATTCAAGGTTGTTGCAAGGTTGTTGTTGTTGTTGTTGTTGTTACCTTCGTTTGTACCACGATACGAGTTTTTATTTTTAAAAAAACTGGGACGATGGATAACGTAAAAAGGAATCCCGTGTAAAGTAATTAACGAAAGCGAGTAAAAAAAAAAAAAGTTTTTTTTAAAAACGATAATAAAAATACCAACGACGACGACAACAAACAACAACAAACAACAAACAAACAACAAACAAAAATGATGAGAAGGAGATGAAATTTATGTTTTTTAAAAAAAAAAATTTTTAACTTACACGATTAAATCAAAAACATGGTGCGCACTTTTCCTTTTAACTCGTCGAAATTTTTAATAATAATAATAATAATAATAATAATAAAATTTTTGGTATTCGAATGCGCGGCCGTTGATAAAAATTTTCATTTCCGGTTTATATTCAAATGAAAATTTTTTACGTTCAGCCGCTTGTAGACCGTAAAAATATTATCGAAACCTTTTGTTCCTCCCTATTCCTATTTTCCCCGAAAAGGACATTTCCCAAAGAGTTCCTGGAGAAGATGCTGGAGTCTTCATTTTCCCCTCCCCTTCGAAATTTTTCTCCCCCTCCCCACGAAATAGAAAAAAAACGTTGAGGGAACGAAACGTTAAAATTTTCGCAAAACAAAAAATCATACGTCATCGTTCATCCCCTCGTTATCAATAAGTAAATCCCGATAAGACAATCAATTTCAAGGTCATTAAGATCGTCTCTCTCTCTCTCTCTCCCACACACACCTCCACCCCACCTCCCCTCGATATATGTATTAATTCATTCACCTCTGCGATTTGCTTTGTAATTGTTGGCATCGACATTATCGATCGAAATATTAAAAAAAATTTTTTTTTTTTTTTTATCGTCGTGGCAGAAGAAACTTTATCATTATTATCATCATCACTTTTTTTCGCACGATGAATTCAAGCGGACGGAGGAGACGTTCACACTTTTTAAACGCGTTTTAATTAAAATCTTATAAACGCATCGTTTATTACGAAAACGTCGGTGGCGGTAGAATAAAAATTCATAATATTAATAATAATGATGATGATGATGAATTTTAAGTTTTTTTTAATCCGCGACGTTATAAGTAATCGATAACCGTTAATTTAAAATTTTTAAAAAAAAAAGTGCTCAAATGGTGTGCAGTCGAATGACAGTAGTATAAGTTTTTAATTTCTCGCTTTACAGTTATACACCTTGTAAAGGAATTCGGTTCACGTTTGTAGCCTAATTTTATTTTTTATTTTTCGTCGTCTGTCTGCTGCCACTTCTTTATTTATTTATTTTTTTTTTGATAGAAAAATTTTTTTTTTTTTTAAAACCAATTAATTCACTTACCCTTCGAAAATTCCTTTCCAGATTAAAAAACAATTTCCACAATGATGATGATGGAGATGATGACGTGTACATTCCTGGAAAAAAACTTTCCCTTTTCATAATCATCATTATTATTAATATTTTTAATAAGGTATCGACGTATGGAAAAAAAAAAAAAAATTTTTTTTAAAATTATTTTGAGGTTTTCTTTCATTCATCTTCATCTACTTCCACTTCATATCGTACCACCGTTTTTACCTCTCTCTCTCTCTCTCTCTTTCTCATTCATTTAAGTACCGCTCCCCAAAAAAAAAAAAAATCACCGCAAAAACTTTCTCCAGTTTAAAAAAAAAATCCGTTTTCGTATCGATAACCTTTTTCTTTTTCTTCCAGTTATTAACGGAATAACGGAAAAAAATTCTGATTCATAAATTAAAACGTAAAAATTTCGTCACTTTAAACCGTCATTATCATTATCATTATTATTATTATTATTATCGGATGGGTGTTAAGTAAAAAAAATAATAATTCGACTGGAGAATAATAAAAAGTATATATATTATAGTTATTCAAAGTTATCGGTTCATATAAAAAAAAATAAATAATTATCCAGAAAGTTGGTGCCACGTCAAATCATTCCATGACATTTCCAGCGATTAAAAAAAAAAAAATTAGATCCACGCACGAATTTACTCAAATCGTTCATTTCTTTTGTTTTTATTACGAAAGCAGACGACGGCAAATTAAGAGGAGGAAGGGAAAGAGGGAGTTAAAATGGAAAATTTTTATGTATAAACAACAGCAGCGAATCGATTAAATTACAAAACTCGTTCGATATAAATACTCGAACTCGAAAAATTTATTTATCACGGTTTGGTAAACAACTGACATGACTTCATAAAAAAACAAAAACGTAATTCGTGAAGTGGTTGCAGACAAACTTAAAAATAATCAGAGCGAGATACGACAACAACAACAACAACAACAACAACTCGTGATTGACATCGCGGAAAAAAAAAAAAAAAAAATTTATTTTTTGCATGACCGAAGGAAACTTTTTGAAATTCCGGTTGATGACGTACATCCGGTTCTAATTTTTCAAAATTAAAAAAATTTCGCGCCAAAATTACCAAAAAAAAAATTTAAAAAAAAAAAAAAATCGTATAAAGAGTAATAATTGTAAACTTTTTTAAAAATTTTTTCCGACCAAATTGTCAAATCACGTGATATATTTTTCAACGGTTAAAAACACCCGATGGGGAAAGGGGAAGGGGGTAGGGGAAAATGAGGAAAAAGTAAGCAGAGGGGGAAGGGAGATGAGAGAAAGACGTTAAAACTTACCAAAAAAAATTTAACGTAATTATTAACACGTCTAAATTCTAGGTCAGTAAATTCAGGTGCGTTTTTTCTCTTTCTCTCTCTCTCTCTCTCTCTCTCTCTCTCTCACACACACTTTTATCATTATTATTATTATTATTATTATTATTATTAGGTACGCGCCTCATTTTTTTAACATTTCGACCTTTTCAATTTTTTTTAAAAAAGGAAAAGAAAATTTAGGAAAATTCCAAAAAAAAAAAAAAAACAACCGCACCCAAAATGTACGATGATGTAGTTCCGGTATTTCGAGGAATTTTCGAGTATCGAATAACCGGAAGTTACATTTTGTTAAAAACAAAATCGTAATTTTAAACGTGAATATGATATTAAATAGTGAGGTGACATTTTTTTTTTTTTTTACCTGACGACGACCAATATAATTGATTATATAGAAAAAAAAAATGGCGACGTCGTCTACTTAAATAATAATGATAATTTTTTTTTGTGTAAATCGTCGTTATCGAAATGATTGGTACGGAGTTTTAAATAAATTACTAATAAGTATTTTCTAATGCCACGAAAAAAAATAATTTTTTTTTTGGTTAAATGTAATATTCGAGTTTTCCCCGTCGACATTCGTGATAACCTTATCAAAATATTAAACATTTGGATTTTTAAAAATCATCATCATCATCATCATCATTATTATTTTATGTATTCGTAATGGAATCCTTTTTTTTTTATTAACCTTAATAATCACAATTTGGAAAATTTTATGTACATATATATATACGGTATTTAAAAAAAAAAAATTAATTTAAATATTTCGTAGCGTGAACTATAAAAATAATAATAATAATAACAACTTCGATGTGACGTCATGGTAGTTTTTCGTCGTCGTTAATGACACGTAACTTGTTATACGTACCAAATATGTGCGTTTGTGAGTACCGTTAAATACATTTTTACGTACACGATGATGGATTTAATATTTTTTAATGGGGGGGAAAAAGAAAAGGATAAAAAATTCATATTTCCAGGAGAGAAAGAGAGAGAGAGAGAGAGAGAGAAAAAAAAAATGATTTGAAATCAACCGGATGATTCTATTTTAATAAAATAATAATAATAATTATGATCCCCTCATCGATTTTTTAAAAAAAAAAAAACTCCAGGTTTCTCAATCCCGGATGAATTTACCAAATAATATCGCACGTGCGCGTGTGTGTGTGTGCCCGCGTGTAAGGATGGACGTCGTAATAATGATAATAATAATAATAATAATAACGACGAACACGATTACAACGATGACGATTTCGATCTTTCCAATAACAAAACAAAACAATCGCCGTAAAAAAAAACCCGGAACGAATATCATCATCATCATCATCATCATTAATAATAATAATAATAATAAGAACCATCCGAAAATGTGTTTTTAAAAAATAAAATAATAATAATAATAATAATAAAAACATAAATTGTCCATTTGCGATTATTTTCAATAATGATGATCATAATAATAATAGCATCATTTTATAAGTTTTGTAATATAATAATAATAATAATAATAATAATAATAATAATAATAATAATAATGATTGAGAATAATGATAATAATGATAATAAAAGATCACGTTTAATCAATGTACTGGGCTAACCACCTGAATCCTTCTCCATAACCTTGTCGCTTTAAAACGGAGCACATGAATAATTCTAATGGCCTTCCTGGAACTTCCGATCTCGGTACTTTGCCCTGTGAACCAAAAAAAAAAAAAAAGGGATGACGACGATGATAATAATAATAATAACATTAACGGACGATATCGGGATATTATCATTCACGACGCCCTTGAACCTAATCAAAAAAAAAAAAAAAAAAAAAAAAAAAAAAAAGTTATTTTTAGGCAAGCAACTCGAAGAATCGACTCCACGTTCGTAATTAATGTAAATAATAATGACGACGAAGACGACGACGACGATAATAATAATAATAAACAGTAATGCGATGATAATTAAATTCGTTTTCAATTGAATTCGTCGCGATTTGACCGTACAAGAGAAAATAGCGGAAAGGAAAAAATGGCGGCCGTGGGAAAAATCCCGGATTAAATAAAAAAAATATAAGAAGATTCCGGATTCGAACCCGACTCGTTTTTTTTTTACCGCCCGAAATCCGGCATTCTAATATTCATTCGAGATACGCGGATTCGTTTATCATTATTATTATTATTACACCTCGCGGCGTTAAATGGCAGCAAAAAAAAAACGAAAAAAAAAAAAAAAAAACTTCAACTTCCAGTTTTTCTTTAGCAAGTTATCAAGGACTTCTGGTCCTTAGCTGTACGATTTCGTACCTTAACAACTGGATTCTTTCTTTTTACAAGGTGCAAAACCTACAACCGAACAATCATCATCTAAACATACGTAAAAATTCCAAATAATAATAATAATAATAATAATAATAATAATAATAATAATAATAATTTCAAATAATTCGACGCAAAAAATTCAACACACGCGCAAACAACTCCGCGCATTACAATCATCATCATATTATTATTATTATTATTATTTTTCTCTCCATTGCAGAACTTTGGAATTTTTTTTTTGTCACGAATCACGTGACCCGACTTAATCACGGATAATTTTAATGGAAGGTGTGAAAAATACAATTAAAACAACGAATTACACAAGTATGACGTCGACAGGATTAAAACGTTTAAATTCGAAACGAAATTTTGTTTTGTTTGTTTTGTTTGTTTGTTTGCTTGTTTGTTTATATTTACCTTTCCGGTGGTTTGTCCGTAAAGAGCAAACACGTTCCTAAGTTCGTCTTCTGATGCGGCACCCGGTCTGTCTATTTTATTACCCAATATGAGAACGGGACAATTGGCCAACTGTTCATCCGTCAATAACGAATCGAGTTCGGCTTTGCTTTCGACGAATCGATTACGATCGCAAGCATCGACTAAGAATACAATTGCATCTACTGCTGGAAAATAATCTTTCCAAACTCTTCTCGCTGGAAAAACAAACACAATTTTTTTTAATCATAACAGCCATGTTGTATGCAATGTAAAGCGAATTCAGAAAATGTTTTCGAAATGATAAAATTTCATTCGCTTTCCATTTCCTGGAAACAATGTCATATGACGAGGACTTTACCTTGATGATGGCCACCAAGATCGAAGGTGGTAAATCTCATATTTCCTATTGATAGTTCTTCTGATGCTGAAAATAAAAAAATAAAGGAAACATTTGTAGTAATAGAAAATACTCGAAACAACCACCATATTGAAAATGTTCGAAACAACCACCATATTGAAAATGTTCGAAACGACCACCATATTGAAAATTATTTATTATTTGTCGTTATTCGTTATTTAACAACCAACATATATATATATATATATATATATATTCATGCTTAATTATGTAAACAGTTAATCATGTTGTGACTATTATCACAGACTCATCATGATTGCTCTCCAAGAATTTTTCCATATCGGAATCATTTCATTATCAAAATCGACAAAACCGATATAAAAATATTTATAATAGGAAACTTACTTGGATGTAATGTAGGCACATGCTGAGCTATGCGATCATCTTTCAGCATATGTAATAAAGTTGTTTTCCCAGCATTATCTAATCCTAAGAATAACAATTTTCCTGACTTTTTCCATAACCCTAAATATCAAAAGAGAAAAAAATGTCAAAAAATTTTATTTAAATCGACAAACATTCATCATGACACTTAGCGAATGAGTATAGTTAAGACACAATGATGATTATTCAATATTACATTCATCTTAAACGTTATTTATAACGGAATCATCATTTTGTTTTAACATAAACGATAATAATAATAATAATAATAATGAAAATCTCACCTAAATATCCTAATGCTCCTGTGAACCAGTCCCAAATAAACATGATAAGGCGTTGTTACCCAAGTTGGATTCTGAAAATAAAAAACGTACATTTATCAAATTATAACTCGAATATACGTCGAAAAATAATTAAAATTATCAAGAGTAATTCATGTTTAACAATTAAAAACGAAAATCAAATCTCAAATTCCGACATATTTACGTATAATTAATAAAATAATGAATTTAATAAATAGGTTATGACTCAGCTAAACAGTGTTTCTCTAAAAAAAAAAAAAAAAAAAAAGATACATATATATAATTTTTTTTTAAACCGTTCGAAATGTGAATAAAATAATAATTTAACGTTATAAAATTTTAAATTGTGAAAAATAAAAACGTAATAAATTAAAATTTAATTAATCGAAACTTAGGAATAAATGATAAATAATATTTTTTAATTAAAATATAATGGATCACATACCAAGGACAACAACACGAAGACTTGAAAGAAGTTTCACAGTGACTAAAAAAAAAAATAGTTGGCAGATATTACGTATTTCCGGTTTCCTTTGAATGGTTCCGGTTATCATTATTATTATATTAATAAAAATGAAAACACGTTTCGCAAACGAAATTTACGTACATCCTAAAATATTTATTAAATTGAGAAATAAAAGGACGATGATTACACTTTTAAAACGAAAATATTATTTAAACGTTAAATTAATGATGAACAAATGCAACGTTTCGAATTGAATCGTATCGTTTTTTTTTTTTTCAAAAGTTGGCAACTGTTTGTAAACATTTTATATGCGGAAGTAAAGAGAAAAAATTTACAAAACTTGTTGTTTTTTAAATTGAATAATCATGAATAAAAACAGAACGTATTCGATGAGGGCGGGAAAAATTAAAAATTATTAAATATTAATAATTTGAATAAATAAAAATGGCGCGAGTATGAGAAACCGTTTGAAAATTATAAAAGATTTAATTTCGATTCATTTACCCTAGGGTTTACCCTAGTTTTCAAATTAATTATTCATGATCGAATTTTTAATTGGATTTGAAATCGGTACGGAATCCCTTCAGATTTTTTTAAAATAATTTTTTTCCGTTAAAATAAAACGAAATATGGTAAAAGAAAATATGACGTTTAATCGTTTAATCGTATCGTTCATTTTTCAAATTTCTTTTTGTTAACGAATTATTATTATTATTTTTTATGTAAAATAAAATGTAAATGTTGAATTAACCAAAGTTAGTAAATAAGGAAAGTAATGTTTTATAAATTCAATTATTACAAATGTTTTTCTTTTGTCATCACCTTCTTCTCCATTTGGAATGCTTGCAAATGATTTTTCATCGAATGGTGAAGATGAAAGTTTCGATGATTCTTATGGTAGTTCATTAACAGATTCTTTTACAAGTTTGGTAAGTTCGATTAAATTGATATCGAATCAAGCGATAAAATCCTTAAAAATGATATTTTTTCATCAATTGTAATTATTTTAATCTCTAGAACATACATAAGTTAACAATTGATATAATTTTTACATAAAAAATAAAAAATAAAAACATCCCAAAGTTATGATATGATGTGTTTGACTCGAAACATTCGAACACACACACAATTTAAAATTTTAAATATATATATCGATTCAGGTTATAGTTCATTTTTCATCAAACTCATTATAAATACCCTGTTGCCAAATTGTTAATAGAAAAATGACATTTTATCTTAAAAGTTTTATGAACTCGAATTAAAATAAATTTGAAATGTTTCGAAACTCACCTTATCATGTTGCAAATACATTTTTTTCAATCTAATATCGAACATGTTATGATGTAATCGTTTGTCATTCATCATAACTATTATGATAAAACATTTGTTTTTGTTTTTGTTTTTTTTTTTTTTTTTTGTTGTTGTTTATTAACACACTTTGTATTTAAAAATTTTGTTTTTTTTTTTTTGCCATGTGACAAAATACATAACAAAATGGAGTCCGTTTGTTTTTTTTATTTAAAATTTTGAATGGTAAATTTTTTTTTGTTTTTTTTTTTTTTTCTGTTTAAATGTGAATAAAATTATTATCGAAAATCGATCGAATAAGGTTATAAATTATATATTTTTTTTTTTTTTTATTAATAATAATAATAATATCACGTGACATGACGTGTTTGAACGTCTCATAATGTTTTTGTTTTTGTTGTTATTATTACATTTTATTTGATTACAGGAATTAAATAAAAGTGAAAATCAAATCAACGAACAATGGGAAGCCATTGAAAAAACATTATACGAAGAAGATGGAGAACACGTGACAAATCCGACTCTGTTAAAAGAATGTAAATTATGGAGAGAATCATTTCCTCATATTCGCATAAGAGGAACTAAAATCGATTTGAAACAACAGGAAGAGGAGAAGGAAAAGGAAGATGGGGATGAAAACGATGAGAAAAGCGTTCAAACGTTAGAAAATCATTTGAAATTAAATAATATTGAAAAAAAGAGGGAAAAAATAAAAACAAAAGTCGTGGACGAATTAGTCGAGAGATTGATAGCAAAATTTAATTTGAAAAAACAAAATGGTTTACAAGATCAAAGTTCAAAATGGGAAAACGTTCAAAATGGCGGAGTTGAAATAACTGAAATAACAACAACATCATCCGATTTACAATCGCCGTCATCGAATAATAATAATAATAATAATAAAGAAAATGATTCGTCGTTTAAAACCGAAAACGATAATGATGATAATAATAATGTAAATATTAATAACGGTCACGATGATGATGGTGGTGGTGGTGGTGGGAGTGGGGGTGATGATGGCGACGATGATGACAATAAATTAAATGATAAAAAAATAATAGGGATAATTAATGAAAATAAAATTGTTCTTCCAAACGGCGATAGGGAATCGTATTACGAACGTGGAAAATCATCGACTTCCGGAAATGAAGAAAAAAATTTCGATGATATTGAAAAAAGGCTGTGCGAAATATTTGATTCGTGGGAAATGGACGACGTTCACAATTCTGAGGCGAATCGAGATGGCGGTGGCGATGATGATGGCGATGGCGATGGCGACGACGACGATCGTGATTTTCTCGTTAGAAAAAAAAAATTTGATAAAAAAAATGACGAGTTTATAAAATCCCCGGAAAATAATATTTTCGACGTTAAAAAATTAATTGCGAATTCACGTCGTCGGGATTACGATTTGTCGGATTTTGATTTGAAAGTACCCGTCGGGGAAACAATCGGATTAAAACCGGATAAAAAATCGGTATCATCGAAAAAGTCGAAATGCGGCGATGGACGTTTCAGCGATGACGTCATAAAACCATTCGAAATGACCCGGAAAATCGACAAGAGATACGAAGGATTGTTGACGTCGATATTGGAAAAGAGAAATGTTTTCGTCGGTAATTCGAAAAAGAAAAACTTTGGTTCCGGAAAACACCAACGTAACACTGCCAGGGAAAATTCGTCGGGAGGGGATACGAACGAAAGTTATCGAGCGCATTTGGAAAAAATACGGAAAAGTTCGGGATTCGACGAATTGTACAAACGATCCCGTTCGAATTTACCGAAAATAAATAATAAAAATAATTACTGGTTGGAAAGGGGTGAGATTCACGCTCGTGACACGTCACAAAACGATTTGATGCGTTTGAAAAAATTTAGAGAAATGACGGGAAAAAGGGAAACGGGAACGAAAACGACGAAGATGACGAAGATGTACGATTTCGACGACGACGACGATGACGACGTCTATTACCACGACCGAGGGGATTACCAACGAAATCCCTATTACGTCGAATACGATGATGATAAATTATTAAGGGATTTTAAACGGGAAATGGGATGCGTTTACAAGAGGCCGCCTATGACTAAACTGGGGGGTGGTTTGGAAAAAATTAATTTGAATCGTCCTAAACCGTTCGGGTTGTCGTCGTTGTCGACGACGTCGTTTTTACCAGGAGAATATGTTAGAAATTCCACTTATAAATCCACGTCGAGTTGCGGGGATTCGCCCGAGGGAACGTTTAAAAACATGCAGAAAACGAAAAAGAATAAAATATACAAAGGAGGGGAAGATGGGGGGAGGGGGAAAAAAGAAACGTTTGGAAAATGTAAAAATTCAACGAATTCGAACGTCGGAAGGAGCAAAAGTCAAAATTTTTCAAGGAATCGTACGATTAAAGAACATTCTGGAATATTACCACCCATCGAATCGAGTGAGTACGAGTAGGAGTACGAGTAGTAGTTTTTTGATTTTTCTAGTGACACGACGACAATTTTAAACGTTTTTTTTTTTTTTTTTCCGTAGGCATCATATGTAGAGAATTGACCGGATATACGAAGAAAATGGTCACGAAAACGGGAAAATCAAATAAAAGATTATGAAATTTATTAATAAATCATACGAATCCTATGAAATATCTCTCTTTCTCTCTCCCTCTCCCCTTCCCTCTCTCTCTTTCTCTGTCTCTCTCTCTCTCTCTCAAAAGAGCCCGAAGGATAAAGAAAAAAAAAAAAAAAAATTTTTTTTCCTTTTTTTTTCTTTCCCTCTTGATTTTGAAAATTATTAAAACTTTAGAGAGAGAGAGAGAGAAAAGGGAGAGCGAAAGAGAGAGGGAAGAAGAGGGGAGGGAGGGGAAATTATTGATTTTATCGATTATTATTGTTATTATTATTATTAATCGGTAAAAATTATTGAAAAAAAAGGAAAAAATTAAACATCAAAATTATTTAAAATTATTATTATTATTATTATTTTTTTTTAATAAATAAATAAATATTTAAACTTTACGCAATATTAATAAATAATAATGATGATGATGATACTAATGGAAAATTTAAATTATTATTATTATTATTATCTAACGACACGATAAGTGTAAACAAATAAAGATAAAAATAAAAAAGATTTTATTTTAAATTCGACATGTTTATTTTATAATGTAAAGAAGAAAGAGAAAAATGGATTCCAAACTAAATAATAAAATGGCTACCGTATCGTCCGTTAATAAATAAATTTTTAAAAATGGCGAACGTTATTCGCACATTTCGTAAAAAGAAAGAAAGGAAACATCAAAAAAACCGCGACGATGGGGAAAATTTTTCTCGTTATTTGACTTTATATGACAA